GAAAGGAAAGGAGAGAGAGATGGAAACATCGAAGTTAGAGAGAGACATCAATCAGTTGCCTCCCGTACACATCCTGACCAGGGATCGAACCCACAACCTGGGTACGTGCCCTGACCAGGAACCAAACCCACAACCTTTTGGTGCATGGGACAATGCTCCAACCAAGTGAGCCACCTGATAAGGGTAATTTTCTTGCCTTCTTAACACTTTCCTCTTCCTTTGTTTCTAGAACAGTAGTGTCTTGATTCTCCTCCTATCTGCCCAACTGCTCCTTGTCTCTCTTCTTTGCTAGTTCTATTTTTAGCCCCTAAGTGGAGGCATTGTCAAGGTTCTGGTTTTAGATCCCTTTTCTCTTCAAAATCCCTCTAACAATCTCTTCCATTTCCAGAAAGCTCATGAACTCAGTCCACCCTGTTGTGATGACATCTACACCCCTACTTCCAACAAGCTCCTGAGCATCCGGACCTCAGTGGGAATTTCTCTTCTATCAGCATTCATTTCCTTGATCTTAACTGTCCTCCCAAATAATCACACTCAAAAACCTTAAAATCATCCAGGACTCCTGGTTACTCCTCTTCCTCTACATTATCTCCTTTGACTAAGAACATGACAGTATCATCCTCATTCATCACTCGCACTTCTATAGATGAAATGTCTTTATATATATATATATATAGCTTTGCTCGTGGTCCTCCATTGCTTAAAAGCCTTCAGTGTATCGCCATTGCCTGAAGACTTACATGCTAAAACCTTAGCAACTTATTCAAGCACTCCATGACGTAGCACCAACCTACTTTTCCTGCCTTATCTCCAAACTTTGACACTTAGAGAACTACTGGCTGTACTATTTGCCATTCTCCCAAAGTACTTCGTATTTTCTTACCTCTGTATTTTTCTTAATGACCTTTCCTTTGACTACAGTGCTTACTACCCCCACCTCCAACTCCTACTGCTGAAATCCATTCTCATCTTCCAAGTCCCCCCCCCCCTTTTTTTTGGTACGTGCCCTTAGCGAGAACCGAACCTGGGACTCTCTGGTCCGCAGGCCCAGGCGCGAACCGCTGAGCCAAACTGGCCAGGGCCTTCCAAGCCTTTTTCTCCGTGATCTTTTTTTTTTTCCCAGATATATCCAGTAAGTCATACTATTTCCCTTCTCCGAACTCGCATAATATGGCATTAATACCTTTTTGTATAATACCTATTATCATCTGCCTCATTCTGCCATCTTTCTACACTTTGTATCCTCCCTACAAGACACAAGGGTCTTTAGCTAAGGCTATCTGATCTTAATTATTTCCGCATCTTCCATCATTTGTGGTGCGATGCCTGTCACAGAACAGATGTATGTTAAATTAATGAATGTTTAGGGGCTCATCTCCTAATCTCAGAGTTTGACGACGGCAGAGCCGTAATCTGGGTGGATACGCAGTGGTATGAATTAGCACGACGACAGTGGCCACTCATTGCCTGTGTATATTCTGTCCGGTTGGAGCCTGCACTACCCCAGCTATTCATATTTTAAATATCACTCCTGGTATGATAGTGTCCCTTAAAATGTCTTTTGGTGCCCTTAAGAGAAACAGCGCACTCAGCTGAATTGGCTGGAGGCAATATTGGGAAGCTCCTTCCGAGTTACCTGCAGTGGGTTACTCTTGCGGAGGGGCCTAGGCTCCGTATGCAAGCTCTGTAATTTAGGCAACTCATTATAGCATGTATTACCATGTTCGTTTTCGAATGAAGAATACAGACTATCACCTTATTTTGTTTAAATATGGGATTGAAAACACTGCAATTCGAAGCAGAATTGAAGGCCCTGGCTGGTGTGGCTCAGTTGGTTGAGCATCGGTCCGTGTACCGAAAGGTCGCTGGTTCTATTCCCGGTCAGGGCACATACCCAGGTTGCAGGTTCGGTCCTGGGTCAGGGTGCATACGGGGGGCAACCAATCAATGTATCTCTGTCACATCGATGTTTCTCTCTCTCTCTCCCTCTCCCTTCCTCTCTCTGTAAAGTCAATAAAAAGATATATTTTTTAAAAGAGCAGAATTTTAGAGAGCTCTGTATTTCACATACCATCATTTCCACCTGTGCACGATGCTGACGGAAACGGCAAGCAGAGCTTCAGGTTTTTGCCTACGTATTTTACTTGGAGAAGATGGCCATTTTCCATCAGTTGGTTTTACTGCTGTTATCTCATGGTGCTGAGGTGGAGATTGTTAAAAAGCAACAAGGACGCTGGTGTTGAACAGGGGAATTGTAGCGAGATAAAGTCAATGGGGCCCTGGCCGGGTTGGCTCAGCGGTAAGAGCGTCGCCCACGGATCAAAGAATCCGGGGTTCGATCTGGCGAAGGGCACGGACCTCGGTTGCGGTTCATCCCTGGTCCTGGTTGGGCTCATGCGGGTGGCAACCAGTTGATGTGTCTCTCTCACATCGATGTTTCTCTCTCTCTCTCTTCTTTCCTCTCTCCCTCCAGCTCTATCTGAAGATTAATGTAAAACTATCCTGGGGTGAAGATTAAAAAATAAAGTCAATGGGATCTTGGAAAGAAACGAAATAAGGTGCCTAATAAAGTCAACATGCAAACGGGCCAGAGGAAAAGACGGGAAGCCAGGAAAGGCGGAAGCAAGGAAGAAATCTGGAAAAGCCCCCGATTGTGTTGCTTATGGAAAGAAGCAAGCAGATGAGAGAGTTGTGCACTCTGTGCCTGCCTTCCCCTCTCCTCTCCTGGCTCTTCTACCGATGCCCAAGAGGCTTCACCCACCGTTGCCAATGCCTGCCTTCTCGCTTCTGGTCGCCGCCGGACATGTGCATTGGCCGCTGCCCCTTGGACTGACCGCCAGGGCTACCTGGGCTGACATTTCTTTGACCCTATGTGTTCACGGAGACACTCCGGCTACAAATCCAAGGAGAGCCCAATTTAGATTACTTGGAATCAGTCCTCTCAATTTATGCAGTTTCTGAATATAGTCTTGGTGTTTCACAGTTGACAACACTGCATTCCCTTGAGTGCCAAACTCCCAGACACCCCATGGAATGATCGCTCTCTCCCCGTAGTCTTTCTAGAGTCAGTCGGAGGTGTGAGACTAATCAGACAGGGGCCTTGGCGAATGTATTTTCAAAATAAACAGACTGGAGAGATGACGGCAGTTCTTTTCGGGCACAGAATCACTTCTACTTATCAGCCGCCTAACAGAAAACTGAATTGACATACAAATGATTTCCACTTGCTTTCCACGAACTATTAATGCTCTTGTAGTTTGAGGAAAAGCAGTGAAGGTTTGTTTTCCTTAAGAGGGGAAGGGGGCCCCTGACATCACTGTAGGACGTTCTCATCTCGCAGACTGGCGGCCTCGTAGTTACAGAGCCGTACTGCCCCTAATATTCCGCCAGGCAGAATTACCTTAAGAAATGCATATGAACATATAAACATAGATCGAAATGTTCTTTCCTCCAGGCTTCCCACTCCTTTTATAGGTCATCTTCAATGTCTTCATACACACAAAGCAAAACACTTCTCTCCTCTCAACCATATCTTACCTTCAGGCTAGACCACCCACCCGGATTCACTCAAACGTCAAACAGGTGAATATAGCTTGTGCCGCCTTTTGCCATAAATCTCAGCATTGCCCAGAGCCACCTGGATAGCTCTGCACTGGGCTCCATTTCCTCCACTGCTTTGTTGGAGGACACTGGTTTTGACAGCCACCGATTTGCATTCTAACCCCACCCGGTCGTTTCCAGGCCAAACACGGAATATTTGGGGACTCGCAGGCTATTCAAGGCAAATCTTGTAACTCTAAATGAAGCAGAGTCTACATGTTTGCTATTCATTTTCCTTTTTTTATTTACTTCTCTGTCTAGCTTTACAGCCCATGAAGAGGACATTTACAATCAACACAGCTGATTTCTTCCTCTACTTTAAGAAAGACAGGAACTAAAAAATAGAAGAATGTACTTAGAAGAGATGGATAGCTTGGCTTATTTGGATGATCCGGAGTGGAACTCCTATCGACCTCAGCCATAGGGCGTAAACAGAGAAGGTGGACAACTTGCTAGTTATGCTTCTAATTTCTTGGAGATCAACTCTCATTGGGTGACTTTGCTACTAATCAAAACACACACAAACATGTGTTCCAATGCTTGGGACTTTGGGGGACCTTCGATTATCTGCGCCTCCCCTCTCTTTGTGAACATGGAGAACAGACCGTGTCCGATGGCCTGGGGACTGGCGCCAGGCAAAGTGCTCAACCATTGTCTCCTTGCTCAGCCTTGCCTCCCACCCTGAACGGCCTGCCTCGAGCTTGTAGATTAACTCCCATCTTGCTCTTATCGACTCACATTCCAGAGGCTCCATGCATAGCCCCCGCAGGGCCAAACCCTAAGAGACAAATTCCAGCTACAACAGGCAGATATAAAAGACACGAGCCCCTACATTGAGCGCGGCTTCTAGGACTCGACCCCCGGAGTCTGTGAACCCGCCCGGAGTGCACCCAATAAAGCCTGATCCCTGTTTATTCGGCTGATTGGCTCTCCAGTCTCTTCTCTGTTTTATTCGGCGGCGCCCCCGATTCCTTACAGACCGTACTGCAAAGCCCAACTGGCCTCCAGAAGGAAACATTATCTCAGTTTCCTTACCTGTAAACAGCTAATGTGCCATCCTCGGGGCCGATTACTTTTAATGATTTAATTACATTTATGGTTTTAAACCACACCTTCCACCTAAACCACACGCTCATAAAATAGCAATTAAAATATTTAATATTAAACACAGTGGGAGTCTCCTTGTTTCTGATTTTTTTTTTTTTGCAAAGTCTACAGTTATCTGAAGATACTTTCACCAGGTTGCAACCTGCAATCATGTAGACGGAGAAGCCTGCTGAGACTTCGCACATGAACTGAGATCAAGGGTCACAAAGCCGGCTTCCAGGGGGAAGTTTCTGCGTGTGTTTCGGGGTGGGGGGTGTCCCCTGGCTCCGAACGCGAGCTGGGCGGGGTCTTACCTGGATTCCTGGGGATGCGCTTTCTGCGGTCTCGGAACGCGGCCCCTGACTGCAGGGCCTCCAGCAGATTATCCATCACGCCAGTCTCATCACCCTCTGGAGGGAAGGAGAAATCGGAATTAATCTTGGAGCAATTAAAGTTAAACTACAGGAAAATAAAGGGAAAAAACTCCTGTCAGATTTACATAATACCCCTAAATTAAAGACATATATCTGTTTTAACATAATGGATCCTGTCAGTTTCTGGCGCCGCGGAGGACTTTGCTTATTAGGCACCATTAAGCAAAATTCATGCCAATCCCACTGTTCTTTCAACTTAAAGACCTTGTCTTTTGTATTATTGATGACACGCTCAGTATGCAAATAAACAGTAGCTGATCAGCTACTGCTGCTTTCCTGTTAAGATTCTTATAAGATATTCCTAAGCAAGAAACCACTGACCCAGCTTAATGCAATCAATGCACAGGGTGTGATTTGATGAAGCGGAGTTACACAAGGTTAAATACTGATTGTATTAATACCTTCAGCATTCAACCATCATCTGCGATTATCTCAAAAGACACTATTTGCGAAGCACATTTGCATTCAATTCCTACCTAATCCATATCCTTTTCCCTTTTCGAAATGCTGACATTGTTCAAAAAAACACACAAAAGGTGACCACATCATCTGAAAGGCCACATTTTACATTTGAGAAACATCAGGCAAACTCATCATTCCTTTTAGAATGCTGCTGTGTTTCTAAGCTTTTCCCATGGGAAAGAACTGTCAAAAATCCATGAGCAAGCCCTGACTGGTGTGGCTCGGTGGATACAGTGTTGGGGTGGTGGGGGGGCGCACACCACAGTGTCATGGGTTCGATTCCCGGTCAAGGGCATGTACCTGGGATGTGGGTTTCATCCCTGGCCCCGGTCGCGGCCCTTGCAGGAGGCAACCAATCAAAGTCTCTCTCACATCGATGTTTCTCTCTCCCTCTTCTACTCTCTTTAAAAATATCAATGGAGAAAACATCCTCATACTCAAAAAAATGTTTGTGGAAATGCCTGATGTGAACGCATGTAGAACATTTCACCTTTGACAACTCTGGCCATCGAAAATATTTTGAGATTTGTTAGAGCACTTGTCTCAAGGTGTCAACTGTCAGGAACTCTCTACTACACTGAGGATAATCACTGGCTCTCCCGATGAGAAGGATCCCAACAGGATGGTTGATGTGCGTGGTCGCTGAATGTGTGGGTCTGGGGTAGAGGACATTTGTAGGCAGGAAGGTTAAGACAAGTAAAAGGGAGGAATGAGAAAGAAGACATTGTTTCTAAATGGCATTGCAAAGTTAAATTTAAATCCTTTTTTGTTTAAAGAGTTGACTATGGGGTATCAAATCACAGAAATAAAATATTCTCTTATGGGGCAAGAACAAACTAAACTCTTTATGATCATGCTGTTCATCTGACTGGAGATTTCTTCAATGTTACAATCATTGATTTGAAAATGAATTCTGTAGGACAGGAATTCTGAATGAAAAAATAATAATAATAAAGGGAGACCAAGGTCTTCAGGTCTAATATTTGGTGAAAACAGAAAAGTAGAAGCCTAGTGACTAGAGAGGGAAAGGGGGTGGTGCACTTTTAGGAGCATTAAGGCTGCAGATATCTGAATAAACACTTGCTCTTCACAATAGAAGGGAAAAAAAAGAACCGAATGTAGTCTGGTGCGGCTGGAACGTATCTAGGAAAATTCAATTTTATGCAGTAGGTACTTTACATTTTTTGTACCTTTTAATCTGCCCAACAACACAGCAAAATAGGTATTCTCTCTGTTTTTCAGCTGAGGATAGGAAAACTTAAGAGAGTTTAAGCTTCTTGCTCCAGCTCAAACAGCAGGCACGTGGAAAGGCCCAGGCATGAACCCAGATCAATCTGACCCCAAGACCAGCCCTCTTTGCATGACAAGTAACAGAAGATGAAAGGGAGAGGGAATACGGTGTCCAGATGATGCAAGATCATAATTTTCTGACAGACTTTGGGCATAATCCTATAAGCCAGCACTGTCCAATAGATCTATAGTGCATGCCAAAAATGTGAGCCACATAAATAGTTTTAAATTTTCTAGTAGCCATATATATACACATATATATTATATTTTTTATATATAAAATATGTATAATATATATATATTTTTTTAACAAAAAAGAACTGGGGAAATTAATTTGAATATATTATGTAAGCCCGGCCGGTGTGGCTCAGTGGTTGAGCGTCGACCCATGCACCAAGAGGTCGCCGGTTCGATTCCCGGTCAGGGCACATGCCCAGGTTGTGGGCCCGATCCCCAGTGGGGGGCATGCAGGAGGCGGCCAAGTGATGTTCTCTCTCATCGATGTTTCCATCTCTCTCTCTCCCCCTTCCTCTCTCTCTAAAATCAATAAAGAAAAAAAAATTAAAATAAATATTATATAAATATTTAACTCAATAGATACAATAATTATATATTTTACATTCATTTTATCAGACTAAGTGTTGAAAATCGAACACTTTTATTTTGGCACACTTCACTCCAGATTAGCTACAGTTCCAGTGCTCCACAGTGATACGTGGCTCCTGGCTCCTGTCTTGGGTAGTGTGGGAATAAGCAATAGGAAGTGACTTGATCAAATTTACTCTTTAGAAAGACCTGTCAAACAGCACTGTGGCGGAAGACAAGGCGGCATGACAGCAGGCAGGGAGGTGTTTAGGAGTTCAGGGTAATTGTCTCAGTAAGAGACAAAGGACTGAACGAAGGGGATCGCAGAGCGAACGGAGAGTATGGATGCTGTGAAGTTATTAATGCTCTTAATAGGGCCTGTCTGGGAGGGTGAGATCAAAGGGAAGGGAGTCTAGATGACCAGGGATGAACAGGTTTGAGAAAATGTGATCATTTTTTTGAGATTAGTTTTTAAGGACTATCTCAGTAGAGATGTCCAGTAACGAGTAGGAAAAGTGAGCCTGGAACCAGGAATGAAGTCTGGGCTGGAACGAACAGATCTGAGTGCTCCTGGGAGATGGACGAGAGTAAGCTGAGATAGTGGATGGAAAAGGGAGGGGGCACAGCATGCAAATCCTGAGAACCCTAATTTTTATTTTTAAAAAATATTTGTTTTCTTTATTGATTTTAGAGAGACAGGACGGGAGAGGGAGAGATAGAAACATCGATGAGAGAGAACATCGATTGGCCGCCTCCTGCATGCCCCCCACTGGGGATCGGGCCCACAACCTGGGCATGTGTCCTGACCGGGAATCAAACCAGCGACCTCTTGGTGCATGGGTCAGTGCTCAACCACTGAGCCACAGTGGTCAGGCATGAGGACCTCAATTTTTAATAGGAAGTCAGGAGACACAGAACTGGAAAGAAGACATGGAAGGAATGTTTAGAGTTACAGAAGTACAACCAGAAGAGAACCACAGTACAACTGAATTTGATGTATCCTTATAAAAAAAAAATAGTCATTATAGATGAATCTATGTATTCAATAAAATACAGAACAGTATGTATTTATGATTTTGCATAAATATTATGTAAAACTGAAACAAATTTATAACATAATGACATCATGGATACCATTTCAATACAAGTCTCTAAAGCTATCCTATTGTACTCTGATAAAAAGATGGAAAACAAATGTCACAGAAAGAAATTTAAAAAATAAATCCCTTAGGTTAATTAATTTAGTTGCTGCCATCTGACACCTCAGATCAAAATATTACGCTAGATCACTGTTTCTGAGCTTTTTCTTTCATTATCATCTCCCACCCCAGGAACCTTTTTAGGTTTTTTCTAACCTCCCATCATTAAAATCTAATACCACAGATAGACTACGTATCTGTTTATGTACTGTGGCTCTTTGGAGGGTTACAAACCAATGTAATATCTAAGATTTTTTTCTCCACTCACCTCCCCCCAAACCAATATTCATCCCCTTGGGGGTGATATTGCCCCTGCTGAGAAATCACAGGCCAAATGGTTCGGGATTTTGTTTAAAAAAAAAAAAAAGGCCAGGTCTTTGTAAACATTACTGATGTATTAAAGGAAAGAAATGTAGGTTTCAGGCCACCTTTATTTTTTCATTTGCTTCACGATAACTTTCAAAGGAGCTGAGAGATTTTTCTGAAATGTCTAACCCCATAGAATGAAGGTTATATGACTATACCGTAGAACTGATTTATATTTCAGTTAGTCTTCCTAAAACAAAATGGAAGCCAACTGATCCTTTGAAAGACATTATCCTTCATTTGAAATAAATTTCAGTGACATTTGGTATGTGATTGAATTGTGTGACGTTGCCAGCTCACTCAGCATCATTCATTCTTAGATGTGATTAGTAGTAAGTAGCTGTGATTTTCGTTTGTTTTTTTAAATGTTTTAGTCTATGTGATCAAACTCAGGAAAAATATCTTTTAAGTTGGTTTTTTTTTTTCCCATTGAAAAGGAAAAAATAGCTTTTCCTTTTTGAGTTACACAGAAAATGTGCTTTTTAACCATTTACAATACCTATTTTACTGAGTGAAAGAATTATCAAGGAGAGAATTGTTGATGCTTTTTAGCCACTAAAATGGTAATATATGGGTATGTCTGAGAAGTAACAATTCAGAGACAGCTCTCTAATCTTTCATCCTGAAATCAGATCACAGACAGCATTAAGGACCTAGGCGGGTTGCGTGCAGTCCTATGGGCTCTGTGGGAGCTACTTATGTTTGAGTAAATTAAAGGCATGGGTTGAACCTTCTATTTCATGTTTCCAACAATGTTGGTCATTCAGTGGATACTGAATGTTTGCTGATCTCAATGTTCAGCAGCGACATTTCCCTGGATTGTGTTGACTTAATTTCCCCAGAAGAGTTTGAAGATGCTACAGATTAAAATTTCCACTAGGTGAATTAATTATTCCTGTTCCACCTCTGTGCAAGGCTATTCCCCAGTGCCTAACTCAAACTTATTTAGAGGCTATTTTCCATGGGTTTCTCACATTTGTGTATATTTTGTGAGTACAGGCATTGATGGTCTTTGGTCTAAACTATCTTTTCAAGGATGTTTTTGTAGTGAACGACTTTGAAACACGTAGTGTC